ACATACAAATTAATATTTTCAACATATATATACAGTGTAATACTATAATAAACACTAATATCAAGATAAACTTTTCTGAAATAATCTGAAAGTCTTGTTAATCGAGACGACAATAGTCCAGAACATCAAACTGAAGGTGAGATACTGACCTTAGAAGCACTTGTAATATCTACAGAACTAATGATATCATGTTGTTTAATATCAGCTGTATCTTCCCCTTCTTCTACTTCTATACATCTATAATAATCATTTTATTAATTCATCACCTTATAATAATATACCACAGTATATCACAACATCAAAATATTATTATCACATCATCTAGTCATCATAGTGTCCAGTATACATTGTCTATTGCCTTAACAACCAAACCTTGATCAATGGGAAGTTTAAAAATAGAAACAGTATGCAGTACCAAGAAACCTAATGGTTGAAAGTGTTTTAACTAGGTATAACTAGATAACTAGTGTATATTTTGAGCATCGTTTCAGTAACAAATTAGCATGGCAGTCAACCCACATTTAATACATACTTGATGTAGTAGCGTATGCTGTTAAGGATTCCGTAGAGAAACTGCTTAATCATCGTAACGAACAAATGCTGAATGTGCGAGAAGTTGTACAAATACAAAAATAATTACTATTATAAAGGGAAAATACTGATCAAACTTAACGACACTGGCTGAAACATGTTTGGTTATCAATAAACTCAGTTAGTCTATTTAACTTTCTCTGATGTCTTTACTTCAATATCAGTATTTAAAAATTAAGATATATATCATACATTCACATTTAATTCATAAATCATTTAACAAATACAGCAGATAAGAGGTTTCTGGTCTGAATAAAGATAAAAAGACTTACCCGGAGTTATCTGGTAGTAAAAAATCAGACCTAGCTGATAATTCTACAGCATAATCGGTTTTATTTTTAGATAATGTCATATCTGGTTTTGCTGCTAAATATCTGGCATCTTTCTACAATAAAAACAAATCCAATCAAATGTCAAAAGGTTAAAAAAAATGCTTAATTTTGTGATTTAAATATGTGTCTTTTTAACAACGGATATTTGTTTAATTATGAAACATATGGACAGTTTCTTAATCAAAAGCCAAACCTTAAAAATAGAACAGGCTGTTTGTTTTTTAAAAGCTAATTTATCAACATGAAGACTTTCTTTGTCAAACAGAAGCCAAACCAAACCTTTCAACGAGTTGTCTTGTCTTGTCTTGTCGCAGGAAGCCGCGGTGGCTCAGTGAGTTAGACGCTTGCTCGCTAACCTGAAGGTCCAGGGTTCAATCCCGGCATAGGTCGAGATAATACCTTCGGATTTTTCAACCCGGTTTCCCCCTGTCAGTGATGCAGGTAAGAGCTGAGGGGCTGACATGGAAAAAGCGTCTAGTCGTTCCAATGGGACAATAATTCGAGGCCCTGTGTGCTACAGGCTGTGCACGTTAAAGATCCCTCGACAGTTGGAAATCGAAAAAGAGCAGACTAATGCCGCTGTCCTGGCAAAATTTCCCTCATTGCACCCTGCATGGCATTGCCCGTCTTCATTAACCCACATGGTGCAGAAGAGTAGGACGTAAAACTCCATTCATTTCATTTAATACTTACTAATTCTGTAGTATCTGTACGTTTATATTTCTCTAGTTTCACTGGATCAACTGGAGCATCTCCAGGGTAAGGATCTTCAAGCTGAAACACAACACATTGAGCTTAACATAAACATACAGTTTCACCCCCAACAGCAACGAGAAAAACACACATATACTTACCCAAATTGTAATCAATAGTCTTGACCTAATCATTTGGAGAGACAATTTATATTGTCAAATTTCTTAGTGATGTACATTTAAAATTATCTGTATCTTAAAGTTACAATGTTTCTAACAACAAATCCAAGTCTTGGTATTTTTATCAGATTCTCGATGTGGAGGGTTTTAACTGAATGGAAATCTGAAAAACTATGTTGATTTTCATTAATCTGACTGATCTGCACTTTGAAAAGAACTGTAAGCTCTTCTCACCTTTCTAGAGACTTGATAATCTTTTCTTTTCTTATCTTTTCTCCATTCTTTATTACCCAGTCTCTTTCTCACATCCGACTTCCCAGATTTCACGTTTACTTTCCCTTCTTCCTTCAACCATTTCTTTTTTCCCGCCCACTTGGTGACTTGATGTTTTATTTTAGACCTCGACAGTTTACCCACATCTATTTTATACTCCTCAACTTTCTGTCCCCCCTCAGAGTTTTTATCAACCACTGGTAGAACATATTTATGTGAAACTGAAAATCTGTGTCTTCTGCCTTTATGACTCGTTCCAAATTTATCTTCAGCACTTGTTTCATACTGAACTTTCTTCTTCACATTACCCTAAAATAGTTAAAAATATTGGTCTGAACTTGTTGACTCTTTAAATGCTGTTTGGAATCTAGTTGTTAGACTGAATACCGGTCATCTCCGTGACATGTTAACTCGGAGACAGTTAACTCGGTGACAAAGTGAGTTAACTCGGTGACAAAGTGAGTTAACTCGGTGACAAAGTGAGTTAACTCTGTGACAAAGTGAGTTAACTCGGTGACAAAGTGGGTTAACTCGGTGACAAAGTGAGTTAACTCTGTGACAAAGTGAGTTAACTCGGTGACAAAGTGAGTTAACTCTGTGACAAAGTGAGTTAACTCTGTGACAAAGTGAGTTAACTCTGTGACAAAGTGAGTTAACTCGGTGACAAAGGGAGTTAACTCTGTGACAAGGTGAGTTAACTCGTGACAAAGTGAGTTAACTCGGTGACAAAGTGAGTTAACTCTGTGACAAAGTGAGGTAACTCTGTGACAAAGTGAGTTAACTCGGTGACAAAGTGAGTTAACTCTGTGACAAAGAGAGTTAACTCTGTGACAAAGTGAGTTAACTCGGTGACAACTTCTAGTATAACTTAATTTGTCGCTGAGTTGACATGTCACCGATTTAACCGAATACCGTTAGACTGAAACTTATTTAAAAGATAGCCTATCACAGGTAACCAATTTGCGGTCAACAAAAACAACACGCAGATAAAGGAAAACGCTTGGTCTGTTCATATGACTTCTATCGACGAGTTCTATGATACAATTTTGTCGACGATTGGACTGGTGTATTGAAATGACAGAAGCTTGTCTTAATTTTCATTTAAGATCTTGGTTTCATTGCAGAGGTACCTGACGTATGACAGTATGCTGGAATGAAGCTCTATTAAATAACAAAGCAAAATACTTTTTCTTGCGTTAATAATTGCATATTTAAAATAAATTTGTACTTTTTTTGTGTTGAGTATTTTTTCAATAAAGCATGGCTAAATGGCTAGTTCTTAAAATTTAGGTTGCGGTCTACCTTAGGTCGGGCAGATTTGGGCTTTCTTGACTTTTTTTTATCCATAGTTTAGCAATGAAGTCTTGATAATTAAAGCAAATTTCTATCCATTTTGGTTTGTTTATATTTAAC